TTATTGTTATTATTATTATTATTATTATTATTATTATTATTATTATTGTTATTATTATTATTATTATTATTATTGTTATTATTATTATTGTTATTGTTATTATTGTTGTTAATTTCAAGTTGTGAAATTGATAGTATTGTACATTACTATCATTCTTATGAATCGCACAAATTAAAAATATTATTATTATCCCTAATTAATATTTAATTGTAATAATAATTCGTTTTAGTGATAGTTCACACTTGGAATTGTATTATTACTAATATTAATTAATCATTGTCAATTACTATTACATCATTATTCGAATGATGTGAATACTATTAATTAAATTAGCCAAACTCATTTCGTTACCTAATAACTACCGTTAACAATATATTAGCATAATTTCAATGTAAATATGATAAAATGCTACAATATCAGAATTTAAATTTGAATCCATAATTTTAAATTAACTTTTTAGCAATTTTACATTTGCAAAAACTAATTTACATTTCAAATTAAATTTACTTGAATTTCCCTAATTTTTGATGCATGTAAATTATGTAAATTTCTTAACAAAAAAAAAAAAATTTGAAATCTTTTGTAAATGAAATTTTTTAAAATTTTGTAGAATAAAAGTTTGAAACTTTTTCGTAAAATAAATTTCTTGCAGAATTTCAATAATTATTCAAATGAATAGCTAATTGTTCTTTCAGGGTTATCATGGATCGGTACACGATCTCAGCAGTGCTTCATCATCATCTGCATCTGCAGCTGCAGCTGCAGCAACTCAACAACATCCATCAACAACTCCCGATAGCCACCCTTTAGTGTTGGGCGGGGTGCCCCCTCTGACGGCTGGGGTCACCCAAACGTCCATATCGCTAACAGCCGTCAGTAGTCCTTCAGGAAGGTATCTGATATTTACTATTCGGGAAAAATACAATAATAAATCAGAAAATGCAAAATTAATTTAATTCAAAATGATAAGAAATTGAAACAAAGCATAAATGAATAAATGAATGAATGAATGAACTTTGAACTTATAAATATTTCTTCAATTATTACAAGTATTAATTATACCTTAGCCAAATAGTTAATTATCATACTTTAAAATCAGTTATTATTATTTTAAACATTTAAATGTGTCATTGGAAGGAAATATAACATTTTATTTATAAATTTACTTAATTACCTAAAAAATAAAAGAAAAATTGAAATATTATAATTTCGTAATTAAATTGTTATTGTTTATTGAAAGAAAACGAAAAAAAGCAAAAATAAAAATGTGAAAAATAAATTAGAATTTAAATTTTACAGTTCATCAGCGGGTGGCCAACGACTTGATTCAACGCCACATTCAGTGGAAACACCAAATCAATTACTTGCAGCTCAACAACAAGATAATGTTTCCGATACAGGTATTGATTGATTGATTGATCGATCGATTGATCGATTGATTTATTAATTTTATATTTTAATTTTATCGAATCGTTTTGGTAATTAAGATCGATAGGAGCATAAAAAATTATCACTTTACTTTTTTTTTTGTTAATGAAAATTTAAAAGAATTTTTGTTTGATAGCTAATATTAGTCGGTCATTAATGAAGTTGAATTTTTATTTATTTTTTCCATATTTATCAACTAATAAGAAAAATATGAGAAAGGGAATAATCTTATCAGTTGATATTTTATAAATAATCATTTTTGATTAAGTTATACTTTTATTCTTGTACCTTTTTTTTCAACTTCTTTTTCTTTTTTAAATTTTTACTATCTTTTTTTTGTTTTTTTTCCTTTTCTTTAGTCTAGACATATTCTTCCAAGACGTATGATTCATTTATGGTAGGCAAATATATTAATTAAAAGCTAAACTTTGCAATATTTTCGATACATGTACAATATATATATACATAAATTAGTATTGGAGTACCGAAAATTTACTCAATAATAATTCATTTAATTTAAAATTTTATTTAATTTAAAACGCTCCTCTACTTGGATAAATTTTGTAATATTAATTTTGAGAATTTGAAAATTTCCTAAAATTGGTTCGCTGGCTAATTTCTCTCCTTTTTTTCCTTTTTTTTCGTTAATTTCAACTTTTTTTTGTAATTATTCTACAGCAAATAGATCATTCCTCTTTTTTTTTGTATTAAAATGTAAAAATAATTGCTTAAGACAATTACCTATGCGTGAAATTATTTTAAAAAAATCAAAAATCATAAAATGAATTCAATTATTTCATTACATTTTTAAGTCATAAATATATTCTATTAAAATTTCATAAAAATTGTAAGTTTATTTATTATACATTATTGTTAATGTTGCTCCTTTTTTTTTGTCGTTTATTTTGAATAAGTTTTGTAAAAAAATTTAATTTTTGAATCTATTCGCTTCTTTTTCGTCTCTCTCTCTCTCTCTCTCTCTCTCTCCTCTT